CTCCTCACCATGGTTGCGGCCGCCGGCCCGCCGGGCGCAGTCCCGCGGGCGCGAAGAAGCTCTCGATCCTCGGATCTCAGAAACCCGAGGACCAACTCTTGGCAACTCGCGACAGGAAAGGGACGCTTTTGAAACGCCCGACTCCGGCGAGAGCGCGGCGCACCCGTTCCGAGTTTCTGTTCTCCGCTCTCAGCGAGAAGGGCGGAAGTTGCTGGCCGGAGGCCTTTGAGGGGTGCGCCGCCGGAAGTGTCGCGGCTCGGCGTGCGGCGGCCAGGGGGCGGGAAGGAGAGGATGTAGGTTCGGGTTTTGTTGGCACCGGGGCGCTCGCCGAGGTGGGCGGGCGCTGCGACTTGAGGTCTCTGCCGACTTTGGCGCCCCCGGGTCCCCGCTCTCAGCTCCCTGGAGGGAAAAAGCCGGTCTCTGGGATGCGACTGAGTGCCTGGTGGGTACCGAACCGCGCCGGGCGACTCCCACGTGCCTAAGACCCTGCCCCTCCTTGGGCACCGCTGACCTTCAGGATGCGACAGTCCCTCCCACGCCATCAGGTGTTGAACAGCCTTGAGCGCGCACCCAAGTGCTCTCCGAGGCCTTACCGAAGCGCTCCATTGTCGCAGCCGCAGGAGACCGTGTGGCCGGAGTGCACTGGCCCGCGGGGAAGGAGAAAGCCCCGAGGGCCGGGAAGGACCGTAGGTCCGGGAGGGTTAGAGGCCTGGAGCTCGGCCTGCGCCGGACGTCCCGCCTCGTGCGGAGCTCGCGGGGGTGGGGGTACCTGGTCAATTATTGGTCTGAGTGTAAATTGCAAGTGTTGTAAAGCACAGAGAGGTAGTAGTAAAACTTTCCAGGAAATCGGGGCAGGCGTCCTAGCTGGGGCTTGAGGACGGAATAGAAATGGCCCAGGTGGGGCTTTGGGCGCCCTAGGGCGCTTTCGGGCAGGGCTCCCCCGCGGCGCGAAGGCCCGAGCGCGGGGTGCGGGGCGGTTTGCCTGGAGCCCCGGGCGTGCGGCGGGGGGAGCGCGGAGCTGCGGAGGCAGTTAAGCGTGGATTCGTCAAGTTCAGGAGCTGACCTGAGGACGCGACAAGATGTTTACTGGAAGGATACGCGTGAAGAGCGGGCTAAAGCAGCGTTTCCCACGCTAGTGATTTGAGTACGACCTTTCAAGACCGGTCATAGTTGAATGTCACCTGTGCTGTTGTTTACTTAATGTTTTCCATACATTAATTCAGTTTTATGTAAATTAGTTTAACTTCATTTTAAACAATATAAAGTCACAGGCTTTGTTGGCACTTTTTCCCTTAATATTTATTTAATAAACTTTTTTGTTGTTGTTGTCTATAACCTAAAATAATCATGGGCATTCTCTTTGGGAAACATGGAGTTGGAATAAGTATTTCATAATTTTTGGTCTATAGGAACCCTTCACACTCTTCAGTATGATTCAGAACTCCAGAGAGGTCTGTTTATGTGGGTTATAATTGATATTCAAATGTTAGAGATTAAAACCTTAAAGTATTTTAGTCATTCATTAAAATGTAATACATCAATTAAATGTTAATGTAAGTAATGCAGTTTTATGAGAAATGCCCACTTTCCAAAACTAAAATACTAGTTTGAAGAGTGTTTTACATTGCTTTACAATTTTGTAGGTCTCTTTAATGTCTGGTTTAGTAGAAAACACCTGGCATCTCATACCTGCTTCTGTATTTATGTTACTATATATCTTTTTTTTTTTTTTTGGTTGAAGTGTAAGAAGAAAATTCACCCTCATACATACATGTATATGTGGTTGGAAAAGGAAAGATTATTTTAATTATCTTTTCAGAAAATTGTGGACCATCTTAGACGCAGTACCAGGCTTTGACAAGCAGTAGTTTCTTAAAGATTAGTTGCAATGTGGAATCAAAGCGTATCAGGAACTTTTTCTATTCTGTTCTGTTAGAATCCATTGTTCTATTTTAGAATAGATCTAACAGGCACGGTTTTGCAAACATCCTAAACTTTGGTGTTAGAAATGAAAAAGAGGAAATGGATTGAAGATAAATTTAGGACATAAAAGGATTTGGTGACTTCCTGAACATGGATAGTGAATGTTTCTGTCTTAAGATACGGAAAAAAGCAAATTTAAGATGAATAATGATAAGTTTTGACATGGGCACAATGGTTTAACCTTATGTGTTTTTGTCTCCCCATCCAATCAAATGCTTCCATGCGTTTCTCATAGCTATGATAGTGTACTTGAAACATAATGAATATGTAGCAAACATTTTAAAACTAAAGATGCTTAGTTTCTGTAGTCATAGAAGAGGACTTGATTTTGTATATTTTTTTATATGACTTTATTTTTACATATTTATGGTAGAAAAATCAGAATATACAGGTAAACCAAATGAGAAATTACTAACATGTAGATGCTTACCTTTCTATACTTAATTCTATATACGTTTACACAAAAATTTTGGTTGGTATGATATATTTTTATAAAGTCAATAAATCTTTTTCTGTACTATCTTCATATCTTTCTTGAAGAATGAAAAGCATGTTGGAAAAAAACAAGGGATATTTTGAGCTTGGAACCGTTTTCCTCATGTTTAGTCAGAATTTCCATATTCTGAACAATGCATTGTTTTTGATAGCTAAAAATATTTTTCTTACAATATACATTTTTACCATATAGACTACATATGCCTTACATATGTGTTACTGACATAGAATATGTAGACTTAGTTTTATAATCTTGTCTATTTCTTTTTCAGAGGTTAACACTTTAGAGGGCCAGGATGTTGTCCAACTTGAGGATATTTGCAGTGAATCATAAGAAAATACCCAGCTTGCACATTAATGTAAGTCTTTCTTGTAAAATTAAATGTTCTTCAACAACTTCAGTTACTTTACTTCCCAGAAGGCCTAGTATATATATCTTTAGCAGTTTCTTAACAAGGATGGGAGAACCTGTAACCAAGAAGAAGCATGCCTTATCACTGGTTTATAAATTCATTTTGCTGCTTTAAAATTACCTGTGCAGCATTTTGAAGAATATCTGTTTCTGAATTCCATTTTGAAGTCATTACTGGCCCAAAGAGTTACAGTTTTTCTTCAGTGTTTTCATTGCTGACGCTTTCAGACTACACACCCTGTCTTACCTTGGTCATTACCTTGAGACTTATAGCTTTGAGTCTCTTCTTTACTCTTAAAATATTTTCTTAGGATAATAGTGTTTTATTGCTAGAAACTTGGTAACTAATGTAGAAATTACATAGAAGGCACAGGCATGCATTCTATTATATTATAAAAGGCAGTTGTGGCAGCCCCAAATCATACATACACTAACTGTAACGATTCTAAATACATTGTCAGCCATTGAATGTTTATATAGTGGCCTAGGGATAAATTGGGATGGAGAATATTCACCCTCTATGTGGGAACATTAGAAGATACCTGGGCAGTTTTTTAAAATGCCAGTCTGTTCTTCCCCCACCCCAAGTGTTTTTTAAAAGCGTTCCAGGTGATTCTAACTGTAGCCACTATTATAAATCCCAAAAACAGCTGATGGTTTTAGAGTTCATGACCCCCACTAGCTCTTAGCAGCTGTAGAGGAGAACCAAGGAGTATACAGGGTGAGAGACCTTTTTAACCTTTATGAGTCTCTGGAAACTTCAGGATCTTAGTTCTCAAGCTGTAGCTATCAGAATCACCTGGAGATCATGTTACAACACAGATTGTTCTGCCCCATCCCCAGAGTTTCTGATTCTCTTGTTTGGAGTGGGTCGTTAGAGCTTGTCTTTCTAACAAGTTCCCTGTGATGCTAATGCTACAGGTCTAGGAGAACCGGCATCTCAGGTCAGCTCAAAATAGCAAACCAGTATGAATTTTATTCTTTCTTTCCTGTAGTATGATTTGCTTTGTCACTTTTAAAAAGAATTGGGACTGCTTTCAGGAGATTCAGAGTATTTTGCCCTCTGACAAAGCATAGTTATAATGTTAAAACTACTGTAATAAGTCATGCCAACATAAAATGTTTCTCTCTCCACTAGGATATGTATTACTCTAGAATAAGAGCAGGTTTAAAAAGAATAAAGCCATATGTGCCTCTCGGAAGAAATTACAGTTCCCTGCCAGGTAATACTGTTAGATTCTTCTCATTTTACTTAAATTGCTTGCTCGCTTGCTTCTCTCTTCCTCTCCCCTCCTCTCTTCCTCTCCCCTCCTCTCTTCCTCTCTCTCCTCTCCCTCCTCTCTCCCCTCTCCCCCCTCTCTCTCCTCTCCCTCCTCTCTCCCCTCTCCCCCCTCTCTCTCCTCTCCCTCCTCTCTCCCCTCTCCCCCCTCTCTCTCCTCTCCCTCCTCTCTCCCCTCTCCCCCCTCTCTCTCCTCTCCCTCCTCTCTCCCCTCTCCCCCCTCTCTCTCCTCTCCCTCCTCTCTCCCCTCTCCCCCCTCTCTCTCCTCTCCCTCCTCTCTCCCCTCTCCCCCCTCTCTCTCCTCTCCCTCCTCTCTCCCCTCTCCCCCCTCTCTCTCCTCTCCCTCCTCTCTCCCCTCTCCCCCCTCTCTCTCCTCTCCCTCCTCTCTCCCCTCTCCCCCCTCTCTCTCCTCTCCCTCCTCTCTCCCCTCTCCCCCCTCTCTCTCCTCTCCCTCCTCTCTCCCCTCTCCCCCCTCTCTCTCNCCCTCTCTCCCTCTCTGCCTCTCCTTCTCTTCCATCTCCTTTCTCCTCCCCTTCCCCAATGTCTCTCTCATTTGTAAGCATCTCCCTTATTAGGGGGCTCCAGCCATTTTGGAAATAGTTGCTCCTTTTACTTCTTGGCTGTTTCCTTAAGGTTATTAAAGGTAGGGAGTGTTCTGGTAGACACCAAGAGGAAGTATCGGCAGACTTATTTATGCTCCTTATCTGCTGATCATCCTAATGAGCTGAATGAAGGGAAGGGCTGAATCAGCTTTAGTAGCTGGCTCAAACGTTTAGCAGGGGAGTCTCCTTTGTAGAGTGCTCTTGCTGTAAATTGGTTGTCCAGTCCGTTTCTGGTTTTTATACAAAAGTATTTCCTGTCAGTAGAGGTTTACCAGAATAATTTATTTTGAAGGTTCTTGAGAATAGTTTGGTTAAACGTTTATCTGGGATAGTTTAGGTTAAATAATAGTGCATTTAAAGCTGGGAGCCTGAGGAACTGGCTACTCCCAATTCTGAATGT